GAACACACTAATACTAATGCCACTACCCATTACTAACTACAAGATCTATAACAATCGAGATTAAATTGCAGTTGGACTTGACACACCGATTCCAGATCAAACTCAAACCTCTAGCTGTACAATGGGCCGCACCCGGCTGGTCAATGGGCCGACGCGGTCTGGCGGCCACTTCTAGCTGTACGCACAAGCGAAGCAGCACTGCCACTTGTCAGAACACGTGGCATACGAAAAGCGCACATTTTCCTTCCCATTGTTGCTTTCTTTCTTTCTCTGCGTATGAAGAGAGAGACACACACACACACATCTTCTATATCTATCTCGTATCTAACATCCATGTCTGTGGTGCATTTTCGTGAGGCAATCTAATCTAGGGTTTTTGTTCTAAATTTTTGGTATAATTCGATTTTGAATCAATTTGTTTAAACCGTTCTCCGCCGATGGCGAAGAAGAGGAAATCGGACGCGACGCGGCTGGAAGAGGTGGATCGAGGGATGTACACCGCTTTCTGCAGCGCCGCCAATAATCTGTCTCAGCTGTACTCTCAGGCCATGCACCAGCAGCGGCTCTCCTTCCAGGCCGGCGAACGCCACGCGATGGTTTGTTTTGTTTGTTTGTTTCTTTTTTTTTGTGTTGTGTAGCTCGTGTTAAGTTTTTTTTTGCTTGAGTTTTGGTTGGGATTTGGCTGGTTGGCCGCATAGAAATGCGTGTTTATCTTCTAATTCGCAGTTGGAAAATGGAGTGCAGTGATTAGGTTGTGTACTTGCGGCTGTGTCTGTGTGATTTCTATTTGATTTTTGGATGTTTTTTGAAGATGTGACTTAGTTTTTGGTTCTTATGTTTTTGGGAATTGATGTTAATTTTTCAGAGGAGTTGATGCGACCTTTTATTTTTACTTGACTTGTGTGATTGGTGATATTTTGTGCTCAGATGAACTCCAGTGGTTGGTCTCTTAACATAATATCGTGATATGTTTTTGTGTGATCAAACATTTCTTGTATCCATTTTGTTTTCCATGCTTGTGACATGGGATATTTGATATAGTGAAAAACATAAGGTTTTACCTAATTCTCTTGTCCACTTGTTGTAGGAGAAGCTTTATAGCTGGATTTTGAGGCATCAAGAAGATGGGGTTAGATTGATGTCCGGTGACATAGTCGCCTATTTGCAGGTCTCTCCTCCTTATGTAGTTAAATTTTGATTAATGTGGATAAATAGTGCTGCTGAATTGCAAGCTTATTGTGCATGTGCGCTACTTTGGCTGACAATTTTGTAATGTATGTGCATTCTTTTCTGGTGAATTATTGGTTTTTGTCACGATTGCAAGTTTTCAGTGAGGGTGAGTAACCAGAGTGTATTTTTGCTAATTCTTAAAATAAATACATTGGTCTGGGTTCTTTTCTAGTTCTATATCGTTTGTTTTTGATAAGTTTCATTTATATCGTGATTTATGTTTTATAACCACACTCACATGACTTGTTTTTCGACTAAGCTAAGGAATTATTGGTAGGGAATGATGCTGTGATTACTTTCATGGTACATACCGTTCCCTCAAAGTGTAAATCTAATGGTATTTTGTAAGCTTCTATTCGTGAAACTCACCACCTGTGGCATTCAGCCTGGTATTTGCCTGAGAATTATCAAATGAGGTTGTTGTCCCCCTTCTCGAACTTGATCTCGTCGGCTTTTTCCTTATGCCTTCAATCATTATCTCCTTTCCTTATCGGCTGTTCTTTCTTTAAAGCTTGTAAAGTTGTCGTGTGATACTGCACCATATAGGAAACACGATATCAGTTGTGCTCTGTCTGTAAATCCAATCCATGTTGTGATATAAGACATTGAAAACTAACACCCTTCGTGATGTGATGAAACTGAGAGCAAAATTGATCTTATTGTTATATGATGACCCATAATCAGTTAGTAGGATATATTTCATGTTGGAGCGTACCTATTGTTATTGGTCACAGGATGCTTATATCTGGATCTTCTCTTGATGTATTCACTGAGTTTCCAACTAAACTTAATCACCCTCCACAAGTACATTAAATTTGTTGGTGTTTTGGTATAAATATTCACCGACTCAAGGATACTTGGTGCTTTTTTTACATTCTTAGCACCATTACGGTCATTGATAAGCTAGAGTTTTTGTAACTAGAATATAGGTGGTTTCTAGGTTGGGGAGTTCAGAAAATAGCTTTTTTCAGTTAAACTAAAGAGCACCCGAATGCTAAAATGCAGTGTGGTGTCACAGTAAATCATATGCCCGACTCACAACCTACATAATCTAATTAAATGGTTCCTCATCGGTTACATGTTTATTCATTCTTCTCCCAATTAGATTTTTGAGTCTCCAGTTCCTTTTTCGTTGCCTTTTTTTTTTTTTTTAAAAACCTTTTCCCTCCTTTCTGCTTTCTTTCGTCTGAGCTGCAGTGGTCCAGAATGGAGGTCTGTTGAGCTCCTCCTCTGCTTTCTTTCTCCTCTGTTTTACTTATCACTCTCTCTCTCTCTCTCTCTCTCTCTCTCTCTCTCTCTCTCTCTCTCTCTCTCTCTCTCTCTCTCTCAACCCTGAATTGTTTGATTCAGGCTTTTCATTGCAAAGCTGCTCTCTTCAGGTTCTGTTGATCTCAAATTTGTTTAGTATTTGTAAAATATTTTAGCATTCATGTTTGTACACTATGGAACGGTAAATAATATGTTTCATTTCTGAAGTCTCATCTGTTCTTATGATGAATTTCACGTGCAGAATGAACTCGATTACGCAATAGAGGAACAGCAACAAACGCAAAATCCTCACGCGGTAATCCCAGCATCTTCCAACGTGTATGGCCCTACAAATGTCTCACAAGGATTGCGTTCGGGAGTCAACACCGACCAGTCCAAGAATTCCGTTTTCTCGAATGCCCTCTCGAGTCCTGTTCGCCGGAGCCTACAGACGTATCACCTCTCGCATAGCGGACAATATGTGAATAACCCTGCCCGTGCCCCTGAGAATAATAACAGCAACCCAAATCCTCCGAGTTCTAACGACACTTCAATGGATATTCACCCTGATAGCCCTTCTCACGATTCTCCTTACTAGAGTCATTCTACCTTCTGTGGCATGTGGATTGCTGATTATAGTCTGTGATGGTACTAAGGGATACAAACGCGCGAAGGCGGGTGTAAGGTGAGCTTAGCTTTGTGAGATGTGCTTCGTTATTGGGTCTCTCACTTGGTCGTGTTGATACTTATATCCTAGTGTCCTCAAAATGATTTCGTGTTACTCATTGGATAAACCGGACGTTTTTTCCATTTCTATATATATGTTCGATTTATTTGATTGATCTTGTCTGGTTTTACCTTTCTCGGGGGAGTTTCTCCTGAAACTGGTGTTGCTGATCATTTGGATATGTTTGATTGTAGCGTAGATTGGGGCATTTTGCCGTTTTCAACACTTCATCTATCCACTCATGCGTGCTTGTCTTCTTACAAAAGGGATTTTTATGCAACTTAAGATTCATTTGTCATAAAGTCGACTCTCAAAGTACACGAACAATTTGAAATTTAAAACACTAGAATATCACTAGAAGTTCCAAACTCACTTAATGAAAAAGTTTTGAATCGAATTTAGAATTCATGTAGGATTTTGAAGCTTATGATGAGGCTAAGAAAACGAGGTATGATTTATTCAATCAATAGGGTGTAGGATTTTGGAGCTCAGGCTAATAAAATGAAGGAGGAAAATGCAAATTTGGTCGTCCCAATCTAACGGTCCCAATTTGAATCTCAAGATGCGCAATTTCAGTGTCTAGTTTTTGTTCCGTTCTAAATCTAACAGATCGTGAAGTTAACGTTAACCCCTAGGACTAACATTGCGACCGTAAGACTAAAATTGCGACCAATTAAAGATTTAGTGTAAATAATATAAATATAGTGTAAATAATATATCATGAAATAGTTTATGATAACTAACAATTAAAGAAAATAAGTAAAAGATCAATTACAAATTTAGTGTAAATAATATAGACATTATACAATCAAATTATAGTTATTTTTGTATAAAAAAAAATATATTCAAACTTGGCTTCGAAACATAGTTTGGATTTTGGAATTTGCAAGTCTATCATTTAAAATCTAAGGCATTCAGGAATTATACATGAGTTTGTAAATGTGCAAGAAAAATTTACCCCTCTACTACTCCTTTTAACATTACTTGCACAAACACGAAAGCCAAAACTTCTCTTTGTAACTACAAATTTTAGTTTCAGATAAACATGAAATTGGCGGTTTTGGATTATTAATCACAGCTCTCCCAAAGACACAATTAACGGGTCAAATTGGAACAAGAATATTGGGGATAATGAGAATCCATATATTACCATAAAAATCGTTAAAAAAAATATTTCTCTCACCAAATCTCGACTTTTGTGTTTCTTCACATGATACAAGACACGAGACAGAGACAAAAATCCCAGAGAACAACCCAAATCAGAGAGTAGCTTGGCGGAGTTGTGGAAGCTCGCCGACGACACGGTGGTGGTAAGACACATCAGCGAGGATAGCCTCCTCCCCCCGCCTTGCTGATGGGATAAAATTGACTACCGTAAATAAAATCCAATACTCAATTGAAAGTCATATACAGTTGTGCCCCTACACGCTCAACCTCGGCGAGCCGAACCTCTCCGAAAAACCGAACATCAATATGACGCCATATGCAAATTGGTTGAGATCCACAATTTGAAAAAAATGTCCAACCGACGACGAGGAAGTACCTATCGAGGTTGGAAGTTGCCAAAAATGATGGTGTCGATCGTCTTCATGTCAACCTTCATTTGCTTATTCTTGGTGTACTTGATGCTCAAAATATGGTGAAATTGGAGGAAGATGGCGGTTTCTTACTCCAGAAATGGCGCCGTGAAGAAAAACGGAGAAGATGAGGTATGGGTATACGAAGAAGAGATTGTGAAGAGTAATGGAGGTTACATGGCCTTCACCGGTGCATGACCGAAGTTTTTCTTTCAACAAGAACCAAAATTTCAGTCTTGAACACGCACCAGCGTTTTGATAAGAAGATTGTTTATTTAAAGTTTATATGGAATATATAAAACACGAAGGAGTGTAGTAAACATATACACAAATTATACGTTAGTTATATATAATCTAAATTGTGTTGTTTTTTTTTGGAGTGCACAAAGTTGTTGATGAACTTTGTATGTAAAGTAAGCATGTTTGAATTGATAAGTTCTACGTTCAATTCGGTGTCGTGTAAAGTAGACATATGTTGTTTATCTTATGTATAACTACATTAGATTTGAATTTTGCATTCATTTAGAATTGTGTATTATGTTTTATTCCGTTTTAGTGTTGTTTATAAGTTGTTTATATTACATATAACTATACGGTTAATTTACATGTTGTTGTTTATATGTTGTTTATCTTATGTATATATACAGTATATCTAAACATATTTTCACGATCAATTTCATTAATACATATTTTGACGGGCATATTAATGAAATGATTTTTATTTTGGTGAGGAAAACAAATTTTTTGGAAAGAGAAGCAACGGATTTTAGATAGAGAAACAGATTTTTTGAAACAAATTTCTTGGAAAGAGAAGTAACGGAACCACATTAATTGCCATGTTTATTCTTTTTTTTTTTATGGTTTTCCGTTTTTCATGCGTGATTTTCGGCATATTGATGCCATTATCAATATAAGGAAAGAGATAAAAGATTCTGCACACAAAAATAAAATATCTCATTCAAATGAAATAATCCCTTCATCTTAATCTTCTTTTGATTAAATTTTGCACCGATTGTGAAGTTGTAAATATCTCTACACTCCAATTTTCCCAATGTGCAAATCAGTAAGGGGGTGATTGTTTATGGTTTGAACAGTAAAAAAACCAATCAAAACTCAAATTTAACTCAACTTCATTATCTTCTATATTATTAATATAATTAAATAATATCCACCAATCATTTCTACACATCACATCAACTTTAATTCACTATTCATCCACTCACATAATTTTAACTAATCATCACTTCTAATCATTTTTTCCTACTTTTACATCAAATCAACTTTAATTATTTGAATTTAAATATTATTTTAATATATCCACTAACAATTAACCATACCATTTTTTTTCAAAACTAACTATAGTTAAAAACAAATAGGAACCGCTTTTCCGATGATAGAAGATTTCATTCACCTAGCTGGCACTCTCGTTCTCAAGAGCTTTCATCCATAAGCAATCACCCCCTAAGATTGCAAGTCCTCTTGCCCAAAGAATTTTTCTTACTAGGCCCAAATGGTTGACCCAGCATCACATATGGGCTGGGCCGGAGGCTTCCATGAAACCCTAATCCACCATCTCTATATATAAATATACCTTCTTCCCTTCCATCTCCATACATAACCACCACATAATTTCTCTCTCTTTTTAGTCTGCTATTTTCTCTCTCTCTTTTTTTTTTTTTTTTTTTTTTTTTTTTTTTTTTTTTTTTTTTTTTTTTTTTTTTTTTTTATTTTTTAGTTTTTTAGTTTTTTTTTTCCTCTAATTAGAAAAGAGTATTGTTGATGATGATAAATCCAAAGGCTTGTTTCTCAAAAAACATTCGCAGTGGCCGCCTGAGAGCTTTCGCCTTTCGCCGGGCTTGAGAGCTTTTGCTGCTTTTTCTCCTTCCTTGGATGTCTGAGACTTTTTTT